AAAAAAACCGTTAAGGATCTTTTGACAAAATCCGGCTTCATCAAAAAAAACTTTGATACCATCTTAGCTTTCCGAGAAATGACATGGTGTGGTATTCAAGGAATAGAAAAAATATCATCCTCATGCTTTAAAGGTGTATTTACGGCCGAATACGTAAATTCATCCAGGAATAATCAAAGTGATGAAACCATTTTTATAAAGAGAAATTTATTCCAAGTTTCTGGTTTTTATCCGGTATAGTTGAATTTTTTCAACTGGATATTATATTATTAAATTTTATTTTAGATAATAATAATCCTTTCTTAGATTTTTGAAGTTATATCTGGACTAACATTGCTTCAGATTTCTGATTCTTGGCTGAATGCAACGAATCAGCTTGCTACTGATGTAATTAATTATAGTATGTGCTTTAAAAAGCATTAAATTTGATCAGTTAATTCGATAATAATAGCTTTAAATTAATATTAGATGTGCCACCTATTTCCGTTATTTGTGGACATCGAAACGTTGGAAAATCAACATTTGCTAGATATTTGCTTAACAATCTGCTTAATTTGTATGGTATCAATTTGTTATTAGATAATCTGCATGATAAAATTATTATGTCCGCAAATTTTAATTTGGGTATATTTCTTACTAAATCAGCTGTCCTAAGGTCGCCTATATTGAAAGCGATGTTGGACAATCAGAATTTACGCCATCGGGTTCCATATCTCTCAATATATTTAATTCTCCTATTTTTGGTATGTAATTCGATTTTTTTCGTCCCTTTCTCGTTCATCTTTGCTCTAATAAACAATTTATAAATAGGACCGCCATTTACTCACATCCAACAACCTTATAGATCTTATTATATTGGCAGCAATACTCCTCTCGACGATCCCGATTATTATTTGGATTGTTTACGTGAATTGGTAATTGTTTATCGTCGAGATATCGCTTGTGGTCCAGACTTTGGCATGCATGCGGGCGAAGAGTTACAACGTATTCCATTAATTTTAAATACGCACGGGTGGATAAAAGGTATTCAGAATAATACATGGATCGATAAAATATTAAGACTAATAATTTTTATGAATTTTACAGGAATGGGATATGACCTCTTTCTTCGTATCCTTGACTTTACTAAGCCAACACATTTATTTCAATTCTACTCATCAATTCATTCATATCAAAATCTTCCACCATTCCCCACTTCTGTTATAACTCCTCCAAATGAAGATCCACCTAAAATTGCTTTGGTTGAAGCAATTGATCCTTCTAAAGTTTCAACTAAATATACAGCTGCAGATCACCGTACGTTGGCCTTACTTTCTTATTTTTATTCTACACCTGCTATGCTATCAAAACAAGAAAATACCAAATGGTGGCAATTTGATAAGCCTTTGATTCATCATTCTCCATGGTGTTTGGACTGGACCAAAGGACTGACAAAGGGTGTTTTTGTTTTTTCTGGTGATGTTCCTTGGAGTCAACTTTTGTATGCTTTAAACGGTTCAATTGTTGGTTTAGTTGGAAATATTCTGGATGTAGATGTGAACGAAAGTTGTGAAATGGTTGATGAAATGGTTGATGAAAATGCTGATAAAATGGTTGATGAAATGGTTGATGAAAATGCTGATGAAATGGTTGATGAAATGGTTGATGAAAATGCTGATAAAATGGTTGATGAAATTGCTGATAAACCAGAAACATCACAAGAAAAAGGAAGAAATATTGTATGTATCCCTTAACAATTATGTGTTAATATGTTCTAATTTCGTAAAACTAAAATCTATTCTAAATAATAGCAGCCTCCTCGTTATTTTCCATGTCCAGACTATCCACCTCCAGATCCCTCTGAATACTTATTTTTAGGACTTGCTATTATACGATCTATAGATCCAGTTGCTCACACCTTTCATATTCTAACACCACTTTCATATGTAGAGTTACAGAAAACATGTCTCATTGTAAAGGGGTCATTGGACTTACCTACATGTTTTATGTTGGATCATTCAAACAATGTTTCAACAGGTGTTTGTGGCGTGCCCTGGAAGAGAGTACCTTATATGAATTTAGAGGCTAGAGAAGGTGTTGGAAACGCTGCTCAGAGAGTTAGAAGAAGAAGTAAAAATAAAGAATAAAAAACTATTTAAAAATTATACAGTACTATATAGAGATTTTATCTTTTGTAAATTTTGGAATACAGTCGATACTGTCTAATTTCATATCACCAGTGAACACAAAAATCATTTCCACCAATCAAATTTTACAGAATCAATTGTCTAAATGCATATTATTATTAAAATTTATTTATGCAGTATCAACTGTAGTGACAAATTGTAAAATTCAAAAAGTGGTTTATCTTTGAAGTAGCGGTTTAATATACGTATATATTTTTAACTTCTGTGTGGTTATAATTAATTAAAATTTCTATTAGTTTATTTAGACACATTATTGTTAAGATATATTTATTCAAATTTTTAGAAAAAAATTTATTATGGTATTTTAAAATTTAATAATCATCAAATTTCTTTATATTTTAAATAAAGATAATAATAATATAATCAAATTTGATATTTGAGGATTTTTTTTAAATTCTACAGATATGTAAAATTTGAAAAATCTTCAAATATTAAAATTGATCATGTTATTGTTAAAATATGCCTATTTAAAATATTTATACAATTTTCATTTCTGTATGTGAAAATTTGTAATTACACGTCACTCTGGTTATATCGACACTCTCCAATAGAAAAGTTGTCGATATATCCAGATGTCGGTTTAATAAGCATCTCTATCTATACCGACGTTATATTGCTATTGTGTAGATATGTCGATTTAGGCAGAGATAAATTTTTCATTAAGCTTATGCTAAGAATAATAAACTTAGCAAAATATTAAGCATTGCTTATTTTATATCAGATATTGCAAAAAACAATTTCGTTATATGCTAATCTTAGCATAAAGCAAATTTAAAAAATTTATTTGATTATATCCAGCAACAAAAAATTATCTTAAATAATTTTTTAATATTAAAATTGTCGGTATGTCGGTATAATTAATATCTCTTATGATTGTTGATATAACCAGCAAGTTTTTAAAATGATAAAGTTTTTTTTAAAAAAAGTATCGATATACCAATTGTCGGCTAATCCAGCTGTCGGTTATAAACAGAGTGACGTGTATATAAAACATAATACAGGAGACTAACTATTCTGTAAAATGTACAAATTTTCATAATATTTTTTGTATACAAAAACTTTAAACTGTTGTGTATGATTTTGAGAACTCTAATGAGTATGTAATAAAAATATATAAATATTATTTCTTTATGTG